ATGTTTTAAATTTAGTCAGTTTTCAAGTTGAGTCGACCAGGCTGATCCAGTACCAATTATCCGGGAAATGGCTGTTGTAATGTTATTTACTTCCATCAGATCCAAACATAAACACCCACTTACCATGTGACACCAGTATCTAGTTACTTTGATCCTACATGAGAAAATCACCCCGTTATTTTTTAATCCTTTCCTGAATCGCTGCCCTAAACTGACTTGACGACATCGACGATGCTATCCAAAATCTGTCGAATACTCGGCTCGCTTTTTGCTGTCAGACTTTTCTCCTTTTCCTTCTGGAATTTGGTCTTTTTTCTCAAAGTGCCAGTGTTTTACAGTTAGTGCTACTTGTTATACAGTGTACCCGCTGTACATTACATTAGAAGGTTTTAGAATATGGCCATGGTTTCAAAGAAGGGGACGAAAGGCTAATAATTATGCCATGTTCCGTACTGTGTTAACAATTTTCCAACGGTTTACCGCCTCATCGTACCTAGGAGGTGTTCCTGGGTGTCGGGATGCGATGTACAGCGGAAGAATTCATCCCACCACCATGGCCTCCCAAGCTGAAAAGGAGTCTGGCGTTTCCATCAGCAAACCTAGCCAATATTTGGATCCATCACCGTCCTGGTATCAAACTAGTCGCATGGCGGCAATCCTCTTCTGATCCACAAAGGCAGCGATTGTCTACGGTGGTGATGTTCTGGGGCAGACTTTGGCCTAGCAAACCCTTAGACTCCAGGGAATCACAGTGGCTAAACCAGCAAAGCCCCGAAAAACTAGGTTTTATGCTAGGGCACGCACAACTAGTGAAGACGGGCCACCCAAGTATCCAACTAAGCATTGATTTATAGCTACTGGTCATCTACTGTGTCCACCATGACTGCATTTTTCCAGCAATTTTAAGATTTATTCACAACATCCCAAATTAAACATTATTGGTTTCTCAGATTCGATGAAATCACCTTGAAACTATGTTGAAAGTTATAATCACCCTTTAAGTAGGAAGAAACTTTTTGTAAAATGTGATGTTCTTCTAATAAGAATAATTTTGTGCCAATAGAGGTTATATCTTTAGCCAAGGTTTTCATTATTTAGACGGAATGAACTTGTTTCTCGAACCATAACTAAGGCTTTATATTTCAGCTCTGACAATTCTTTTCCTTTCTTGACCTGACTAATACCATCACTCATAAAGTTGGTGCGTGCTTGGCTACTACAGAAATCCTGTTTACTAATACCCATACCTGAACCTCGTGAATAGAGCAGTGGTCACTGGTGCTCAGCGATACACACAAGGTCATTGGTTTGATCCCGCGCCGAGGATCACGAAGGCGTCCTTCCCTTTGAGATCCACAAATTGGTGCCAGACTTATCTTGAACGAGAACAGTACAAAGTGATATATCGGTAGGCCACTGCGGGTCATTTCATACGTCAGATATGCAGCAAGCATAAAGACGATGTTACGAATCGAGTCGAATGCACGACTCATCCCTCGAGGACAGATCAAAGCCGGAACTTTTTTCCTTCACCCCTTATCCGAACTTTTCAAGCATCGATCTCTTTTGAGAGCATTTGTTCTTTGTAGTTCTACGCCGTTTTTCATTTAGTAGCAAAGTGATAAAAAGCTTAGAGGTTATTGACAATCGCTCGTTCATGAATAGCTTTATGATCATACAACTTGTCGAGGAGAGTTTTCATGCCTTCATTTCTGAGAAAAATTTAATACTTACTGTGCTGAATAATTAAGTTTTCACAAGATTCCATAGCATTGGAGTAGAAATTTTGAGTTCTACATCAATAAATGCTTTCTTGAAAAACTCCTTTTGATTCGTTTCCTTAAGAGGTGTGTAAGTCGATTCGGAAGTTTTAAGTTTAAAAACCTGTCACGGACATTCGAAGCGGTTCGTTTGGACGATCGGCCTTCCCTCATGAGTTTTAGAACCGGAACCTGAGCGTTCCAGACCGCATAAATCACCGCGAGATATTATCTGGCACGCGACACCCGGTCGTTCTGAACTGACGACACGGCTTGATAGAACAATTGATGCCAAGTCGTCCGGTAGACGTCAGTTCAGCATAGGGCAATGTTAGTTCTGTTCCGTAAAGCGTCAGCCTCAGCTCAGTGTATAGGCAAATTGCTTCACAGTAGCATTTATTTATTAATCGAGTCGTTTCTCATCAAAATATAGGCCGTAAGCCCTTCATCATTTGAATGCTTGTTGTCGATGAATTGTTGAAGGCTTTCACCGAGAGTTTGCACCTGTTTCGTTGGCTCCCCGCATTACAGGCTTGAATCTATGCTACTACGTTGTGACCTAAACCGATATAGTCTTCCGATAACAGTGATAGGCTCCTGATCTATATCTCCAACAAGAGACGTACGTGTATTCGCTGTATTTATTAACTTTACTCTTTCAAACACAATTTAGCGAGGTGTCTGCTGTTTATAGTAACCGATAGGCTAAATATTTTCTTATCAAAAGTGGCTATGCAACCCAAAAAACCGACTTTTTATAAACCTCGGCATAGATAATTCATATGTTTATTTATATGATCTTATAAACTGATCTTCTCTAGCTGATGCGAAGGGTATAGGTCTTCGTTGTCGTTGTTGTTGTTGTTGGTGTTGTTGGCCGATGGATGACGTTTCGGCGACTTCGCCTTTCTCAGAGCCGTGATGTTACGAGTGGGACTCCACTCACGGCTCTGAGGAAGGCGAAGTGGCCGAAACGTCATCCATCGGCCACCTCGCATCAGTTAAAGAAGAACAGTTTATAAGATCATATAAACAAATATATTGGCTATGTAACCTTTAGGGTTTTCTTTAACAGTTTGTCGTATAATTTTGTTTTAAAGAAACTTTCACGTCCTGTTAGATCGAATCCTCCTTTTTTAATCGCTTCTCGTTTGAAGTATGAGAAAGGACAAAGAAAAGGAAAAAACGAAGCGATTTGAATTTCAAAAAATCAAAAGCTAATTGCGGGAAACATTAAAAGTTGTCTTTTAGGTAAAGCTTGGCAAGATCTAATGACTATTATACCAGCTAATAAAGTTTGTTGTGAAATGGAATATGTTTCCATAATAAGGAAAGATGCCAGTGCTCACGCAGTAGAATTAAAGCACATAGAAAACTAATTGAGAGAGAGGCGAGACGAACGACCCGCATGGTGTGGTGGTGAACGCGTTAGCTCTCGGAAAGGGTAATAACGTGTTCGATCCCCACCGCAGACACATGCGGTCTGGAGTTTGCAAAATCTCACCATCATTATGGTCGTAGTTCACATAATACTCTGCCTTCAAAAATTGCAGTAATCAGCAAATAAAAGGTTAAGATTAAAGCAAGTTGTTCTGAATATCTCAACAGAATTGCAAAGTGCCGTGAATGGCATTTAGGTAAAAAGTAAGAGAACCCTTAATTTATTTCGAAACTGACTTTCCTTGAACCTCGGTATCACTAATCAATATGTATTCTTTCTTTGATGAGCTTACACGAGGTTGATAATGATGTTTATCCACCATCAGCATCGTGTATAAAAGGGCATCACTGAGTAAGGATGCCTCTTTCGAGGAGATGGCTCACTGAAGAAGACCTGACTCGACACGAAGACGAAGCTGCCACGTCGAGACGAATAACAAGCGAGGACCATCGGCTCGGATCATCGGCTCTGAGGAAGACGAAGACGTCGAAACGTTAGCCGAAAATAAACATCATTATTAACCTCGTGTAAGCTTATCAAAGAAAGAAACCCTTAATTTAGTTGTAAATTGCTACCGGCTTGGAAGAGAAATAATGGTTAATGAGCTTCTCTTTACTTCCTGGCATAAGTTCATCCGCTTCCAATTTCCGAAATGGAAGAACACAACATTGCCAGTGGTGGTGCCATCTTCCACATATCTCTTCACGTGCTTGTTGCTCTTTCCAATGATTAAGAAATATAGGCAGTAGAAAGAAAGTTAGCGCTATGCACTTTTTGTGAAAAAAACGAAAGAACAAAAAGTATCGTTTCGAAATAATAAACTCTTCTCTTAAATGCATCTAAGTGGTTTCATTACGAAAAATTTCCAGTGTTCGATTAAAGAGTCAAGCAAAAAAAAATATCAGGTCAAATCTTGAGTCAAAACAAACACGAAAATGCCTATTGATTTGAGAGTTTTTTGAACCGAAAGTGCTATTACAGGTTTGATGATTGAAACTTGAAGACGTGCTATTTATATCTTTATTATACTGTAGAAGAAGTACTGCTGTTATTTTATACGACACAACTTGTACATAGAGGGTGCTTGTAGCACAAGTACTAGATCTGCGCATCAATACGCATAGTGTCAGTTGACGGTTCGATCCGCGCAGCAAACTTACAAAGCCTTCGATTGAAGTCTAACGATGCTTGGTAAAGTCGCATTCATGGTGTGCCTTCCACAGATTGTTCATCGCCTAATACTTTATTCTTTTTAATAATATATGATAATAATGACTGTACATTCGCCCCTTTCTAATCATTCCTCACATGCCGTTCTCCACTCTGGACTTTTCCTCTTTGGTTATCGAAGAAATCGTTGGGCAAATAGTTACATGCTTCATTTATTGCGGTAAACTGTAGTATAAACACGTGTCGCGATTTCATAATTTTGCTTCGGTTTAGTTACCCACTTTTAACTGCATCTATTGGCTACCTTAAACTTCTGGTCCCACGTTTCTGTTGCCAGTTTGCTCTGGTACACTCATTGTTATATTGTCCTGGTATTGATGTCTCTAGTCGTCTAAACCTAGTCACCATTCTTCTAGTTTTCACCTTTTGTTATGTGTGTCAAACGTTTATTTTACTCTGGAACACTTTAGTTCGAGAAATAATCTACGACTTTTTTGCCACACTATTTACTCTTTATCTATTCTTTACTTGTTATATGTCCTTAATTGGTTTCACTTCTAGCCATAGTGGGTAAATCATCACTTTGTCCTTGAGAACTAATAGAAAGAGCGCCCACGTAAATGCTAAGATTATCGACAATTTACTAATTTTCGCAAAGCAGAAAGCTTCTTACTGCGAAATCTGCAATAATCTATCATCGTGTAGCCGAACTGAAGTCCTCTGTCGTCGTTATTCCTTGGGATTGAAAGTCCCTCGATTGGTTTGTTGAATGCGGTAGATTCTTTAGAGCAACAGACAATGACTGGCACTTCCGAGTTTTCGAAAAAGCGCGCTGCTTTCATTGCTCGAACTGTCTCCTTTTCTTTTAGTTCTCCACTTCTTTGGCTCTTCAGCGCACCAGATGGCCGGCTTTTTGTCGCGGGTCTCGTGCGCGCCAAAGCCGCCGGCTGACAGCCAGCCAGCCGTCGATCGTCCTCGACAAAAACCATCACTGTCTACTGTAGCTCAAAAAATTTTCTCCCTTATGCTCTTAATTCAGAACATACTGTAAATCACTGTGTTCTGGGTGTGTGTGCATGTGTGTATGTGTGTATGTTTGTATGTGTGTATGTGTGTATGTGTACATATATACATATGTGTGTGTATGTGTATTTTGCGAACTCATCATTTACTAGATTCGTGAAGGTATCTGGTTTACTCACTTTGAGTGTTATTCATCAATGTCATAAATAACACCACTGCAACCGATAAGAAAGGCTGTACGACCCTGGTATTCCATAAAAACCCTTTTCCACTACCTTTTGAAGTATATTTTATTTCACTATTCTATAACCCGAAATGAAATGGTTACTAATTCTCGCATCCACCATCCACGAAGGTCTTCAAACTTTTTGCACGTGCCCTCGATTTTTCTTGAGCATTTTTCATTCTCGTCGCTAATGTCGTTGAATGTTGGTCGTGGGGATTCTCAGTGGAATTCTGAGATAGCCCTGCTAGAACGTTCCCATGTAGACTGGAGAAAATAAGCTGCTCCCAAGCGAATTTGGGAACAATTTCCCGAATCCGGAGAGATGAAGGGCTTGGTGGGCCTCTTGCAAGATTTAACCGACGCTCCAGTAGATTGGACAAACCGTATAATGAACGAGACCACTACCACTGGGTAATCCGCTGTCTTTTGAAAAACGGTTACCAATTCTTTCTACTTCTGTTTAGCAAACACGATGTGTTATTTTATTTCTTTATTTACGCACAAGTACGCACGTATTTACGCACGTTTCGGCGGCCTTCTCCTTCCTGAGGGCCTGGAAACCTCAAGTTGACTGCAATCTGTCCGGCCAAACACCTCCATAACCAAACAGAGAAAACGTTAAACCAAGATTTCAATCACATTTAGCATAGCTCTGCACATTCACCGCTTTCTGTGAGGCTTCCACTGAGTATGTCGTGTGGAGACCGACCGCACAGAATTCACATGGAAGTGTAATGCGCCCCTCTCATCAGAATAACAAGTTTATATACTGTAGAATATCGCGCGTGATAATGAGGCATTCCTCCTTGCGGTTCATTTTTAGATTCTTGGATTTAATAGAAAATCGGACTTGGGAGTTACCAATTTGTTAAAACAAGTTGGTTACCAATTTGCCAAAGCCGGAGGAATGGAAGCCTTGGCGAGCCACGGGCGCGGGAATGTTCAGGAGACCCTCCTGAAGTGTCACCATTAACCTTTCACTTTTTTTTAGGAATATGCAAATACCATTTGCATGGTTTTATACGAGTCTTCAACCCTTGGTAATACAGCAACTGAATTGAAAAGTCACGTGGTGCAGTTTCACTACTACTCGTAAAAATAGAACTACTATAATGATGAGATATTTGCAAAACTCCAGACCGCAGGTGTCCGCGGTGGGGAACGAACGTGCTATTATCCTTTACGGGGAGTAACGCGTTCACCACCACACCATGCGGGTCCTTCGTTTCGCCTGTCTCTCAGCCAGTCACTCGTAAAAAGTTTTTCTAAACAGGTTAACGAGAAATTGGTCTGCGTGATCTTTCTGGAACACCTGTGTTATTGCTAGAAAGGTGGTGATAGTTGAGGAATTCAAAACCATCCCACACTTTATTCCTTAAAACTTTCGCAATTTCTGTATTGAAGCAACTTTCGCTTAACCTGGGCCTGAAAAATCATAATTAGTAATTATAACAACCTCGTGTAAGTTGAACAATCTGAGGAATTTTATCGAATTTTAGTGATCTTTTTAAAGCAAATGAATTTGCCGTCTTTTTCTAAAATTCATATCAAAATCTTATTTCCTATGACGGCTTTCACCTCAACCGTTTGACTACAGCGTTTTGCCGTGCCCTAGGCGTGCTCCGACCTGGAATTCTACTGATTTCAAATGATAACACCTTCGTCTTCCTTATGACTTAGGTGATTTGTGGGAATGTTCCCACGTTGTCCATCGTGGGAATTCGTTCGTCTGGATGGTCAGCTGCTTCTGCAGCTGTGTTGCACCGCTGAGCATACTCTCCAGGTGACGTCACTTCCCATTCCGTCCTCTGCTACACTGCAGGGATCCTACCGATCTGTCTTATTGGAATCAGTTCTCGACATTTGATGGCTATACTGAAACTCTTTTTGATTTTTACGGTATCTACTCATTAGCATGACCTTTTCTCGGCTTTCGAATTTTGGTACGTGTATTTCCAAATAGCAGCTTTGCTTCGAGTATTAAAGTTGCTTATTCCTTTAGAAATACTTTTGATGCCCTAGTACTGAATCTCGGATTTAGGAAAAAGTAGCGAGGCATGTCTTTTGCTTCTGATTTCAGTTCTATAACCTACAAATTCATGAAAAACAGCGAACATCTTTCTATAAATCCGGTGGAAATGTGGTATCCAGAAAGTTAGGTAGCTTTCAGGTAGCTTTTTGAATAAGTTTCAACAGATTAGAACTTTTCTTTTAAAAAAACGCCAACCTCATTGTGATCATTGAGTGCCAAAATCTTATCTTTCAACTGAAAGAGATTTGTTCGAATAAATTTTGACACTAGGGCACTTTGAGGGATGATTTTAACACTTTTAGGCGCTTTTAGTTCACTTTAAGTACCTACGAAACTGAAGGGAAAATCAATTGAAAGAAGAACAGCACAGCTCTTCTAACTGTAACAGATCCTCTGCTTCGTGAGAAGTCACCTGAGCTAAAAGCCATTTAGCGTTTGAGAAAGGCCATCGAAAAGGAGCCCTTGTGTTTCGCTTTTCGTTTTTATTCAAAATCCAATCACAATGTGTTCTTTTCATAAGAATTTCATAACATTTCAATAATAAGCTAGCCTCAAATCGATTATGTTGCAACGTTCCTAATTGAAAAACAATAATTTTAAAACTGACCGTCATTTACCCTCGGTAGTAAAATAATCAACATGTGTTTATGATGTTGAGCCTACACGAGGTCGAGAATGATGTTTATTCGGCTAAGGTTTCGACAATTTCGTCTTCATCAGACCCGATGATCCGAGTCGATGGTCCACAGTTCTTCGTGATCTCGAGGTGGCATCTTCGTCGCTCATCGAGTGGATCTTCCTCAGTGGAGCATCTCTCTCGAATGAACCATACTAAGGATGATACAGCTCGATGCCAGACGAAGACGCCACCTCGAGAACACCAACAACTGTTGGCCATCGGCCCTGATGAGGACGAAACCATTGAAACAGCCAAATGAGCATCTTTATCAGCCTTGTGTAAGCTCAGTATTATAAATATATGTTGACTAGTAATCGATGCAAATAATATTGTACCATTTAAGTAGTTTTTTGCCTGTTTTAACTTTTCTCTTCTATGCTCAAGCAATTTAGCGATCATTTTTAGTTAAGATGTTAAAGAAATGCAAGACAATCGAACTACATAACTATTAGTGCATGGATTTATTAGTCGCTTTTCGTTGTCTCTCTTCTTTGTGGTGAGAAAGTATCAGAGGCAAATTTTTCGTTTACTCTTGATAAGGTGGAAGTTGTGGTGACTATTTGACTTCGGAAATCTTTCTGATTATTTGACTCCTGAAATTTTTCTTTATATTCTCCACGACCTTAGAGAAAATCCGTTCAGGATAATTCCGTAGGAAGTCATAATCTTGCTGAAGAATCAACAACGCCTAAGCTTTAAAAACTTGTGCTTTACGAAGTCAGTAGTGCCAGGATGTCTAATGAATTTTTATTTCATTCGACAGTGTTATGCGGTTGTTAGCGTCCGCCCTTCTCATTCATTTTTTCTCGTTCGAGATTTCATAATTACCTAAGTCACTCCCACGCATACAAGCCAATTCACCTCCAATTATCTGTGTGTTAATGCTTTTCTGTGAAGTATCCATATAATGCCTAAATGGGCCTATCTACCACAAACCAATTCCTTACAGCCGGAATGAACTGGTCGAAAATCTAAGTAATGAAAGGTTTGACCCCTCTGCGTAGGTTCGTCAAGCAGTTTACGAGCAGCAGTGGCGCCATCCAGTTACCGTATCCCAAAAGTAATTAGTTCGAATAACAATAGCCGGAACGAAAGCAGCTCGTCGTCGACTATTTATTACTTATTCGTTTCTGGATGTATCCATGACAGCTTATTCATTTAGTCATTTTTTTTACGATTTAACGTCTTAGCTGTAAGCAAACAGTGAAGTATTTCCCTAATGATGAGTTTATTAGTTGGAGAAACTTTCAATAAAACTTATCAGCTGATTTCTTTCTCGTGTAGATTACGATATTTCCATGGGTACATGCATACGGGCACCTCAAGTTAATCGTTTCTCTAGATGCTTTCTGGTGTACTTCAAGAAGATGATGTCAACGTCAACCCAGGCCATCAGATGGCTTCAGGGTTTTTGTTGAAAAATCCATATGATGGAAAATTCCTGTACTTTTCCAAAATCTTTCCAGTGGCAATATACAAAGAAATGAAGGAAAAGTTATCACTTCCTAGTTTATTGGTGAACTAGTCGGCTGACTCCTGTTGCAAAACAATTACAAAATCGAGGCCATAAGGTCCAAGATAATGATAATTAAGCAAGCTAAGTATATTTTTGTGCACTTTTAGTAGACTAGAACGCCTTCATCTAGAAATTTTACCTCGTTAGTTTTACAGACCCAGGCTATCAACAAGACGCAAGACTTTTAAAAAATATTGAGATGTTTCAGCTGCACTGCCTGTCTTCAATCTTTGTATCTGAGTTTTTTGCTGGCCCTGTTTCATCACAGACTGTTAAAGTTCTGCCATATACTGCCGACGAACGTAACTTTGCATTTCAGATTCTTTCATTCTAAAAAATCATTCACTATATGAATCCTTTGTAGATGACTAGATATCCAGCCGCAGGATTCACATTTTTAGTGTGCGATCAGAATATTTCAAAGATCTGATAAATAACCGAATAAGGTGCACTTTGAATAAACAAACAACCCACAGATTTTAGTGCTATCTAATTTACATAAACCTACAGCTT